TGCCCGTGCCCACGCCAGTCTCACCCGCAGCTGCACCTGCGCGTGCACGCGGCCTACGGCTCCACCAAGGACGTGGCGGTCTACAGCTCCATCAGCCTGTCCCCCATGCAGATCTACATCGTGGGCCGGCCCACCAAGAAGCTGCAGCAGCAGTGCCAGGTGAGCGGGCGAGGCGTGCTGGGCGGCGCGGGCAGGCGGCCCCGAGAGCCCGGCCCGTGACGGTCCCCCCCCCTCCCCTGCAGTTCATCACGGACGGCTACGCGGCTCACCTGGCCCAGCTCAAGTACAACCACCGGGCGCGGCCGGCCCGCAATGCAGCTACCCGCATGGCGCTGCGGAAAGGCAGCTTCGGCCTGCCGGGCCAGGGCGACTTCCTGCGCTCCCGGAACCACCTGCTCCGCACCATCTCGGCCCAGCCCAGCGGGCCCGGCCACCGGCACGATCGGACGCAGAGCCAGGCGGACGGCGAGCAGCGGGGACAGCGCAGCATGAGCGTAGCCGCGGGCTGCTGGGGCCGCACCATGACCGGCCGGCCTGAGCCTGGGGCAGCCGCGGGCCCCAAGTAGGACACCGTGAGTGAGGCGCTGTGGTCTCCATGGTGCTAGGCCAGGGCGGCCAGCCCCGCCAGGAGGCCTGGCCTGGGCACGCAATGGCGGCTGGACACAAGCTTGTCCCAGGGCCTGGCGGAGGACATAGGCCGTGCCACACAGCCCTCCCGGCCCTGCCTCGTGTCCTAGGGTCTGAGGGGTTCCAGCTTGCAGGAAGACCTGTCCCAGGATGACAGGGACCAGGACTCCCCATGCGGACTGGCCCGGAAGGCTCTCCTAGACATTTGCCCTGCATTGACCTCCCAGCGTCCCGACGACAGGCCTGGGCCCGGGCCCAGCCCGCCACTTCCCATCCACTAGCTCACCCTGACCCCCAGGTCCCCTCCCACTTGGTAGCAGCTCCAACGGGGGACAGCCTGCTTCTTGTTAACTCGAGTTACTCAACTGTTCAACCTCACTGGTTTTGCACTGACTTTTGAGAGTGGAGATCCATTACCATCTCCTGTGGCGACGGACATGCATGAAAAGCCAACATTCGCTGATCTGGGACCTCTTGCCACACAGAAGGCTCCAGGGCGGCAAATCCTTGTGCAAGCAGGAGAGAGAGGCCATATCTTAATTTCTGCAGCTCCGCCTGGCCCGCCAGCGCTGTGGCAGCCCCGGACCCCTGCCTACCTGTCCACTTGCCCCACCTGGAACCCAGTCCAGCGGCGAGGCTGGTGAGGCCCAGAGCCGGCTCCCGAGAAGCCACGCCTCGGGCTCCTGGGCCTGGCCGGGCCGGCCTCCTCTTCCACTCCTCGCCTGCCGTCCGTCAAGGCCACGTGCCTCGGCTCTCCCGTTTCTACACCTTTCTACTTCTCCAATCTGATTTCTATGAGGTTTTTTTAAATGAGCAATCCTTGGCTGCTTCCTTTTCTTAACTCTTTCAGTACCAAGCGCAGCCCCTCCACATGAAAACACCCAGCACTGTGACGGAGTCCAGCCTGGTTCTGGGTCCCGGGGCCCTGCCGCCCCCACCCATGCAGTGGGGCGTGGGGTCCCCGCCTCACCTGACCCCCGTTAATTCCACTGAATTTCTACTCTGGGGTGAGTGGGGCACACACTTAGGTTTTTTTAATGCCAATTCCGTTTTGATGCCGAATCTAAGAAGCCACAACTTGCTTCGTTAGCTTAAGGGCAGGCAGCCATGACACCATTCCCCTCCTGGTAAGGACCGCGCTGTCCTGCACGCTGGGTCCGAGCATCAGCCCTCCCTCCCCAGAAATGACCACGATCTCAGCTGTGGCGCTTGGCTCCGGGCGGCCCTTCTGCTGCTTCTCCACCTTCTACATAAGGCGGGGGAGGCTGCCTGGCCAGGCTCCGACTCAGAAGCTGCTGCCAACCTGGATACGGCCTCAGGGCCTCATGGGCTGGGACGGGGAGGCACACCGATTGATGTTAACATTCTCCCGTGTGTAGATATGTACAGCCAAAGGGTCATGTAAATGTTCCACGAAAGTGGGTCTATACAGAGTGAGAGCTATTTATTTTGTGCAGAGAAAAATTTCTGGAGGGAGAGGACCTTCAGGGTTTGTTCATATTTAAGATGTAGCTTTTTGGTTTTGTTTCAGGCGTTATGTATAAAGCAACGATTATTTTATGGACCAAGTTTTAATGTAAGTGTTGCAATGGAAGTGCAATACCTGACCCCCCTCTGCTCCCCGCGGGGGAAACTGCTTGGCCTGACAATCACAGCCCGGCGGGGGGCCCCTGTGGCCAGTGCCTCCTCCTCTGTCGGTCCCACCTCACCCCATCTTGCCTACCGCCTCGGTGACCAGCCATCCGGAGAAGCACCTGGAAGAGCCTCGGGCCCGCCTGCAATAAAGGCTGGGCGGCCTGCTGGCCCGGGGAGGCCGTGTGGGCAGTGGGTCCGGCCGCTCCCAGCGGGCAGCTCTCCCAAGCTCCCCACTCCCCGCCCGCCTGCCCAGCTGCCAGCCATGCCAAGGACAACAGCAATAGTCCCCTGGGCCTCTCCCAGCGGCCCTTAGCCATAGATGGTGAGATGGGCAGCCCACCCTCCCCGTTGACGTCTCTCTTCTATATCCAGGTCTGCTTCCTGCCTCCCTAAAGATTCCTTTTGGCACATTCTCTTCTTAAAGAAGCACCAGTTTTTCAGAAACTAAGAGGGAGGGCAGAGTCCTTTAAAAATACCAAAAATGTTTACAGTGTTGGGTGCTGAGCTGCAGGGCTCAGGCCCGACCAGTCGTAACCAAAGGGTGAGGCAGGCCTTGCTGACTGCCACCCCCACCCCAGGCCTGTTAGAGTAGAAGCCTTAGTCCCACTCCCAACACCGACCCCAGACTGAGCCTCAGCCCACCACCCCAGATCCAACCACCTGCCTTCTCTTTGATTTCTAAAGAGGGATTCAGCAGAGACCCCACCCCCAACTTTCCCAGCTCGGTCTGAGCTGCCCGCCCGCCCGCCCCGTTGCAGTCTTCGAGCCTCGGCCCCTCCTGTCTCTCTGTCTGGGCCATGTGTGAGCAGTGTCCTGACTCGCCCCATCCGCCCTTGCTACCCCTGCACCTTCGGGCCTGAGTGTGCTCTGTATACAGTGTCATTGTCTGTTACACCAATTAAAGAAGCAGGAAGGCTTCCCTCTGGGTCTCTTTACTGCACCAGCAACCACAGAACACCGGCTGGGGATGGGGGCCTAGGACGGGGGCCCCGCCTGTCCTGGAGCTAAAGCTGTGGCGGCGAGAGGGCGTGCTTCCCAGTAAACAACGCCCACTACACTCGCCGTAATAGCAATACAATTACACAAGCCTTACCCTGCCCTGGGCCTCCTTCCAGCCCCTTCCTAGACACGAACCCCGTTCGTCCTCACAGCAACCCAGTGAGGTGGATGCTGAAAGCCTCTCTGCTTTACAGAGCACGTAGCTAGGAATCTGGGCCAGGACTCCCACTCTGGCCGCCTGGCCCCAGCACCAGCACTCTGAACAGATGTCATCTGCAGGAAAGAGCACAGGAAGCAGTCTGCCCCCAAGTCTGAGGGGATCGGGCTTGAGAGCCAAGTCTGGGTTTGGGATGCAGCTGGGGATGAGGGTCAGGGTCTGGTCTAGGCAGGCTGATCTGGGGGGATGAGCAGGGTAAAGGTGGCTGGTGTGGCCTGTGCTCATGACCACCAGGGCACACCCCACCTTTCCCCAAAAACTCCTGGAGCCCTTGTTTTAACTCTGGAAGTTGGGCAGCAACCTTCCCCCCCATCGGCACAAAATAACAACAAAGTTTCCAACCATGGAACATTTAATATTTGGAAAGTTATGCTCTTTCAGGAGATGGGAGAGCTGATTAGGCCAGTGACCCTGTCCTGCACCCCCTGCATGTGAAAGGAGGCTGGGCCAGAGGCCAGTGCACAGGAGGAAAGGCAAACACCCACTGGGCTTCCTGCTGCCCACCCTGAAGCCAGCCTCCAGGCCAAGCCACCAACGCTTAGCCAGCAGGGCCCTCAGGGTAGCAGCCCAGCTCGCATCTGGAAGGCCAGGCCATCCCCTCGGGTGGCTTGCTAGAGAAGAAAGCGCACAGAAGGGGACACATCAGAAACAGAGCTGGGCGTGGACCCCGGGGAAAGGGGTGACACCAACCTTGTTGATCTCTCTGTGTCGTTCCTTAGTCACGATTTCCTCTAAGACCTCGCCATCTCCCTTAATGAGCCTGGGGGAGGAGGGGAGAGGAGGCTGAGCCTCTGATGCCAGAACAACAGAACCAGAGATGCCAGGCCTCAGGCCCCCACTCCCGTGAGCAGGCGGAATCTAGGCGCTCCCCCCACCCACTCCTGCCCTTGGGACAGTGATAAAGGCAGCTGGGTAGGCTCTGCCATCAGAGCTCTTTGAAGACACTCCTCAAGGCCCTTCCAACCCCTGCAACTGCTTGCTCTGGGCGATAAGGAAGAACAGCCTAAGAAGTCCCATAAATGAGTAACTACTTTTCTCTGGTCTCTGGCTTTTTCGCCCTCCTCCTGAGCATGCAGAGCATGTGGGGCTGAGCTTTGCCAAGACTCCCCACCTGGTGCGTCCTGTCTCTGGGTCCACCACCTTGCGGATGATGCTCTGCCGAGCATCCCACTCCTCCTTGGTCATGGGCTTCATGGCCTGGATGCGGGACTTCTGTTCATCCGTCAGGACTGCAAGGGGAGATGGCAGGGAGTTGGCGGCTGGGTCTCAGGGAGGGGACCCTTCCCCTCCTGCACCCCAGGCAGCAGAGTACCTGGGCCATCCTCTTCATCCTCAGCCGATCTGTGCCACTGGTCCAGTGAGGGTCCCGGCAGAGCCTCACCCTGCTGCGGCTTTGCCTTCTCCTTGCCTTTCTTCTTCAGCTTCTTCTTCCTTTTCCTCTTCTTCTTCTTCTTCCTCTTCTTGTCCCTGTGCTTCCCCCGCTTCTTCCGGCTGTCACTGGAGGAAGAGGAGGAGGACGAGGAGGAAGAAGAGCTAGAAGAACTGGAAGAAGAGGAGGAGGAGCTGCTTCGTGGTCTCCTCCGGGCCTTGGGCTTGCTTCTCTCTGTGATGCAGGGAGAAGGTGAGGCTGGCCAGGAGGGTAAGAAGTAGACCTTTATCCCCTTGCTCTGGCCTGTGGCAGGCTTAGAGGGACTACAGAGGGGTGAGGCCCTCCAGGCAGGGCCTTCCGGAGCAGGGATCAGTTCTCTCCCGAGAGGCGCTTTCTGGGCTTCACCCAGTCAACTGTCTGACCAGGAGCAGAGCAGCCAGCCCCCAGGTCTCAGCTGTAGCTGCACAAAAAGCATCATTACGTGCTCCCTTCAGTCCACACACAATGCGCTGGCCCAGCCTCTGGAATCTGAGTGTCTTTCAATCTAGACATCCAGGTCCCGCGCTCTGCACTCTACTGCTCCCCGCGATCTCTCCACAGCCACCCCGGGAGGCCCACTCAGCTGCCTGCAGCTTCCTCCGTAAAGTTCCCACACCCCTTTCCCATTCCCTCCGGTCCTCACCCTCCGCCCCACAGGTGGTGTTGCTGGCCTTGTGGTCTTGGGATCTAGAAGCCAAGCAGCTCCTCGGAGCGTCCTTACTGCTCTTCTTCCTTCTCTTTTCCGACCCTCGGCCCCGGGACCGGCTTCGGCTCTTGGAGCGCTTGCGAGAGCTGACGTGAGCCATAGCGCCGCAGGCTGGAGACTAGGAGACACGCTTAAACTGGGGCTCACACAACCGGCCCCCAGACTGGGCTCCGAGGGCGGCTCTTCTCGGGGCCTGGCTCTCGGGGTCCCAGTGCCCATCACCACCCGGGACAGGGACTGAGGGGGTCCGCGGCCACCTCACGATCCTCCCCCACCCCCCGGGGACCCCAGGCCCCGCGCCGACTCCCGGAGCCTCGGCCCCTTTAAGGGCCCGCCCCCGCCCGGCCGCTCCACGCCTGCGCACGGCCCCTCCACGCCTGGACGCTCCGGCGCCCGTAGGAGCCGCCGCGGGCCTCAGCTGCCAGGTGCGTCCCGAATCCCTCCCCGCGCGCTCCTACCCTCCACCCTCGCGCCCTCCGCGGCCTCGCCGCCCTAGGGAAGGTCCCCGCAGCTGCTCCGTCCCCTCCTAACCGCCCATCTGGCGGGACCGTCGGACCCGCACCACGCCTTCGCGTGAGGAAGCGGCGGTGAGGTGACTTCCGGCCGGGGCAGTGCTCCGAGAGGCCGTCCGGCTGGGAAGCGAGGCGCTGCCGCCTTTAGTCCTGAAGCCCCGGGTTCCGTTTCCAGGGCCGCCTCAGAAACGGAGCCTGGCTCTCCGACCTCCCGAAGAGGGAAGCTGGAGATCCAGGCTTCCGCCCCAGGCGGTTGCGAGGCCGTGCGTGCTCCCGGGCCTCTGCCGCAGCCCTGCCCTCGTCTCCGACCGCTCCTCCGACCTCCAGCCTCCCTGAGTTGCCTGCCGACCTGTCCACCCCAGCAGGCTGTGAGACCCCTGGTCCTTGCAGCGTCCCCACTTAGCGACAGAGCCAGGGCGGGAGCCCTGTGAGGGAGTGCCCCGAAGGCCTGTGTCCGGAGTGGGCAACTGAGGTTCTGCTGCTGATTCCTCCAGTGTGGAGCGAGGCCTGGTGTTCCAGATCCTCCCTCCCTCCCAGGGAAGCCAGAACTCAAGATTTCAATACGGAAACCCTTGGTTTGCAGATGTACAACCCAAGCCCGGCACAGCCGCACTCCACCCAGTCTGGGAGCTGCCCAGTTGCGAATTTTTCAATAATAATGACAGCAAACACAGATGGCTGCTGTAAAGCACTTTATGAACGTTAACTCATTTGACTCTCACAACAGCTTTAGGAGATAGGTTCTTTCCAGGAGAGGAAACCAAGGCACAAAGAGGTCCCGTGGCTGCCCCACAGTCACCCCATTGGAAGCCGCAGAATCAGAATTTGAACCCAGGCAGTCTGGCTCCAGAGTCCCTGCTCTTAAACCCCGCTGTGCTAAGCCCTCATCACCAACTAGAAGTTGCTATTGGTGGCTCACCCCAATCCCCTTTATAGACAGATGATGCTCTCCATCCCTGCTGTGGTGTGTGTTCCTGACTCACCTGTACTCTTCTCTGGAAGGTTCCCTTGGTCACTGGGAGCCAACCTGCCCTGGAGATGGTTATCTGGGAAGTTACTGCCACCTCCCCACTCACCCGCCCAGCGCAGCCCAGACACACCCTATAGCCTCTCTGACGCAGGGGGCAGACTGCTAGATTCATGCTCCAGAGAGTTCTGCGGGATTGGGCTGAGGCTGGATGCCCTTTGAAATCACATCTTGTCCCAGCTCCTTCCCGCCCTGTCCTTCCCTCGCGCCCTTCTCCTGAAGGTTTTCCTTCAACAAACCACCTGCCCAGGAATCCCCATCTCAGGCTCTGGCTCTAACAAACCTGACCCAAGCCAGCCTGTCTGGGAAAAGAATGACGCAGAAGCTGGTGTGTCCTTTTGAACCAAGAAGTACCTGAGGGCTGCAGGGAGTTTATTCCCGTCCCACCCAACCCAAGGAGGCAGAGCCCTGGGCTGCCATGCTACCCCCACACGGCCCGGCCTGGCTCAAGTCAGAGCGCACACATCCACCGTGGGGGGCTCCTCGCGGGTGAAGCCGTCGCCGAAGCCCTCGTCGTCCACCAGGTCAGGTTTGCGGCAGCACATGGGGCACAGACGGTTACGCACAGCAGAGGCCCGGAGCCAGACGACGAGGTTCCAGCGCTCGCCCGTGCCCAGGGGCCGAGCCCCGTGCAGCTGGCCGCCCCGGTGCAGGATGCCCTGGCCCACCACGTGCTCCACCTCCAGGGGTCTGGCCAGGGCTGAAGGCGCCTGCAGAAAGCGGGGCTCAGGCCTGGGCACTCCCGGCTGCCCCAGGCCCTGCGCCGTGGGTCACACACACTCACCTGGAAGAGGCCCCCGAAGTACAGGGCGCCCCCCGTGAAGGCCTTGCCAAGGGCCACGTTGAGGGTGAGCTCAGCGTTATCATAGTGGCAGCCGAGCTCGCGGTCCTGGCCTGGCGCGTATTTGACCACGAAGGCCCGGTGGCTGTCGAGCCAGCCCCCGCCACAGTCGGGGTACAGCAGCGCTGTCAGTGGCTGCAGGAAGCGCTCCCGCAGCGGCGTCACCAGCTGCTCATCCAGGCCTAGCTCGTGCAGCAGCACCTGGGAGGGGGACCCCGGGGGGTCAGCAGGGAAACTGACGGCGCCTCACCCTGGGTCCCTGCGGGAGTCTCTTACCAAGGACACTGTTACTTGCAGATACCAGCTTCGTAATAATCCTACCATGACCTCATTTTACAAATGGGGAGACCAAGCCCCCAACAGGCCCCAACAGCTCTTCTCCAGCGCCGCACATACGTCCCCCCAGCCCCCGACGTCCCTGCCTCACCCACCCCGTAATTGTTCATGGTGTTGGGTCTTCCCTTGGGCATGTCTGACTGCTCGAAGTGCTCCAGCTCCTGCAGCAGGGCCTGGCAGAACGGTGCCGTGAGCACTGGCAGCCGATAGATACGCTTCGCCCCTGCAAAGGGAGGGACAGTGTGGGCCTGTGTCCTCGTGGGCTCTGTGAGCCTGAGCATGCCGTGTCACTTCCCTCGGCCTCAGTTTCCTCACCTGTACGATGGGGACAACGTGGGTACTCCCCTCTCAGGGCTGTTGTGACCACTAATGACATACTGTGTGGGCAGCAGGAAGGCCTATTCCTGGGCCCCCTCATTTGTCCCTGGAGCCTCTCATCCTGCTTCCACAGGCGCCCACACGTCTAGCCTCTAGACTGCGATGTGAGTTTTGATGAGGCCCAGAGATGGGAAGGGATTAGCTCAATGACACCCAGCAGGCCAGTGATGGAGCCAAGCGGGGATCACAGAGCCAGCTTCAGGCTTTCTCTGCACGGCCCCCCATGAGCCATCAACATTTGCACCCCAACTGAAGTGCCCCTTGGAGCCTCTGTTCCCCACACAGGAAGGTTGAGAAGGGCTGCTCCTTCTTGCTGGACCCTGTTAGGTAGAAGCCAGGCTCAGATCAGAAATGCACACATTTCTTGGCAGATGCACCAACGCCCTGGGGTGCGGGGTTCGTGTGGTCCCCACCCTTTCCACCGACACACAGCCCAGCCCCACCCAGACAACCTTCACACAATCTCCACTGATGGGGAGTGGGTGGCAATGAGGAGGAGTCCCTCCAGGCTAGGAGGGACAGTCTCATTCACATTCCATCCTGTGCCTCACAAGAGAGCACAAGCTTCATAAAGGGAGGAACACTGTACACCTGTGTCCCCACGGGACCCCCCAGACCGAGGAATAACAGTAACGGTAAGATAAGGAAACCTTTCCTGAGTGCTGTGCGCCCAGCCCATTAGGCACATTACCTCACTTAATCACACTTCAGGAGATGGGTATTACTAGTTCTCTTCTTTCACAGATGGTGACACTGAGGCAGAGGGATTAAGGAACTTGGAAGGACTGGCACTTCCTGCTGGGTTTAGCCAGCAGGAGATCCAAAGGCAGGAGAGATGGGGCATTTCTGAGCTTGGCTTTGTGCCTCTGCTCAGGGCCACAGCAGTTACCTGGCAGCCCCTCTCCCACAACTCCAGTCATGGCAGGTTCAAGAAACTTCACTCTTGCCCACTTCTCCAGGTCAAGGGATAGGAACTGTCTCTCCCCAGCCTGCTGTTAGTCCTGGGCTGGGGGATTTGGGGTGGGTCCTTCACCATCATGCACACCTGTCTTATTGTCCCTTTGTTAAGTTCTTCAGTCCCCCCCATTTGGGTATGCCAGCTGGTTCGCACCTGACACATGCATTGAGAGTGAGTATGTGTTGGGCAAGTGAGTAAGTGAACGCAGATGCCCTGCTCCTGGCAGGTCAGTCCCACCAGCCCTTCTAGCTGGATCTTGGAGGCAGACATGGTGGAGGGACCCCAGTCTCCCACCCCCTAGTCCTAGTCCTACTAGGTGATGGGGCCAAGACCTCACCAGACACCGTCTCCAGCCGCTGGAGAAGGCCTTCAAGGTCTGCACCCGGTGATGTGCTGTACTCAGCTGCAGCCAAAAACTCGGGGGCCAGAGCCTCATCCTGGGGGCAGAACACACTAGCTGTGAGGCAGACAGGCCCCAAGCCTGGATGCCTCCAGCTTCTTCCAGTAACCTGCCCTGCCAGGTACCTGCAGCGTGTTGTAGACATCAGGCCGCGCTGGGTGGTAGGAGCTTGAGATGAGGGCTTTCCTGGCAGCCGACTCCTGCCCCAGCCGCTGCCGTCGCTCCACCTCCTGCTCAAGCTGGGTGGCACAGGGCCTAGTTACCAAGATGGGGCCTCATATCCGCCCCCCCCAAGGTCACCGTACAGAGGAGGAAACAGGCTCAGGAAGGGAGCAGGGCCTGGGTTGAGAGCCAAGTCTCCCTACACACCTGATTCTATCAGGGTAAATGCAGGTGCCAAGCTATTAGCTGAAGGCAACTCCATCCCACTCTGGGTTGCACCATTCAGAGTCTGGCTGGGATGGGAACCCCTGGACATGCCCAACTAGCTGGGCCGCTGAGGGAGGGGAATGGAATCCCAGCCAAGTCTTGTGTTCCAGAGGCTGCAGACGGCTCGCCTAGGAAGCTTCCCCTTACTCACCCCCAGGTGGGGAAGGAGACAGAAGATGCCAGCAGCCCTGGCACCAGCCAAAGGGCAGTGGGTGAAGACCTGAAGAGGCCGGAGCCCAGCTGCCCTGGGTGGGATCTCAACTCCACCTGCTGTGAAGCCTTAGGCAAGTATCTTAAGAGGGTGTAAGGCAGACAACTTGGCATTTTCCACTTTCTCTTTTTCCGGTGCCAGGCCCCAGGTGCTGCAGTGAAGGGGCACAGGAAGAGGGCAAGGGGAGGTCTAAGGAGCCGTTCAGGGAGCTGGGACTGGCAGGCCTACGGCTGGGAAGCCCCCTCAAACTGCTGGCACCAATCTCAAGAGGAAGGGCTAGGCTGGGTGTGGAGGGGGCAGTGGAGGGTGGGGAGTGTTACCTCTCCTAACAGCTGCTGGAAGTCCTTGGGGCTGACACACCCTCGGCTGCGCAGGATCTGAGAGCAGAAAATCCAGTGAGCAAGTCACTTAACGTCTCTGGGCCTCAGTTTCCCCTCGTTGAGTTGGAGATGGGAGCCCCGACCTGACGGGGTCATTGTGAGGATGAAATTCGGTAAGTACGCTAAGCAGAGAGCATCCCCGCGCCGGGCCCTGCCCGAAGCACTTTACATGGACGTTTACTCACTCATTCCTTACGACCGCCTCACTAAGGAGATACTACTATCCCCACTTAAGGTGAAAAAACCGAGGCACCCAGAAATCATGTCCTCCTTGCTGTCAGATCGGAGCACCCGGGCAAAGCGAACGGCCTGCCCGCCCATTTCTCCGCAGAGCCAGTGTTGGCCACTCACCGGGCCGTAGTCCCGGCGCAGCTGCTGCTCGCCCCGGAAGCGCACGTGGAGCCCGTAGCGCGCCACGTACAAGTTCTCGGAGCAGAAGCAGGCGCAGCGGCAGAAGCGCCGCGGGGCCCCAGCCGTCGCCATGGTGAAGGGGCGCGCGCCGCCCCGCCGGCTTCCGCAGGAGCACTTCCGGCGCGCCCCCCGCCGAGCCGGGGCCCGGTGTGGAACCAGCGGCAAGGGTCCGTCCCAAGTTCCCGAGTGCAGAAGAGAACGAAGACTCCGCCCCAGACAACGGTCCGCGGTGGGCAGATATGCTCCCGGGCCGGGGGTGGGGCGGACGGCCTCGGCTGAGAGCGTGTGGTCTTCTCGGCCGC